CACGTTGCCTTCCCTTATAGCATATAATGGAAATCATGCGTTAATGTGCTAGCAATAGAAACTCTACACTTTGATTTCATGCAGACTGTAAGTGTTACAGATTAACCTTAAATTTAGGTACCTTCTAGTTGAAAAAATAAATTGCATGTGTTTTTGATGATTAGAGCTGCCAGGGGGTGAAATATCCACCGTCACACATATAAACTGTAAAAAAAAAGGAAGTTTCATGCCCAAAAAGTCCGTCCTGCTCCAGAAATGTGCTGAGTGACAGCTGCTCACGGCCGGCCAAAGCTAAAGATCAGCGAGTGCTGAAAATCTCTTCGCTTTCGAGAGCTTACGTGTTTCTGAAATCTGGCACCGAAAGGCCAACAATAGCCTTCAGTCAGTGTCTCCAGCACACACACACACACACACACACACACCTGCATGAGCTGTAAAACTACATCACCTGAGGTGCTTTGTGCACAGATCACTTCCCAACAACACAAAATGTCAAATAACTTACTTAGTTTAACCCTCACAGCACTTATATACACAGTAATAAATACATAGTTTGGTGTATTTGAGCCATATGTCTGTATTATACTGTATATCAGAAAACATCTGCCAGGAAGTTTCCAGTATATCTAGTAAGAGCTTGATTAGCTGGTTCAGGTGAGTTTGATTATGGTTGGAGCTAAATTCACCAGGACACCGACTCTCCAGGACTGAGTTTGGAAACTGCTGCTGTATATATTGACATTACCCTGTATATTTATTGCCATGACCTCATCAAGTATTGCAGAATCAATAGATGTTACAAAACAATCAATACAATAGTGGCTTAGTGGTTAGCACTGTGGCCTCACAGCAAGAAGGTTGCTGGTTCGAGTCCCGGCTGGGTCAGTTGACATTTCTGTGTGGAGTTTGCATGTTCTCCCCGTGTTGGCGTGGGTTTCTTCTGGGTGCTCTGGTTTCCCCCACGGTCCAAACACATGCGCTATAGGGGAATTGATTAACTGAATTGGCCTTAGTGTATGAGTGTGTGTGGATGGGTGTTTCCCAGTACTGGGTTGCAGTTGGAAGGGCATCCGCTGTGTAAAACATTTGTGTAACGTGAAGCTGGACGCCGATAAGGGAGTGTGGATTCAACAAGTATGGTCAAGCAAGCAATGGTCAACACAGGGGCAAACACATGTACACAGGCAATCCAAAGTCAAATATCAGGCAAGTGGTCAACAGGCAGGCAGCAGACAGGAATAAACAAACAAAACAAAGCAAGGTTCAAACACGGAGGGCAAGGCAAGGAAAAACCCATCATAATGTTCACTATACAGTTTAACAAGACAATGAGGGTGTCAGAGTGAGCTGTAGATATGTGAGTGTGAACAGTCCATGAGCAGCTTCATCAAAGGAGGCTTGGAACAGGTGTTTGTGTGTGGTGCATGACTGGATCTGTAGTCCATAAACCGGCAGATTTGTAGTCCATAGCTATCTGCAGCCGCTGGATCTCTGGTGATCATAACAATATGCTGGAATAGTTGGCGGTTCATTCTACTGTGGCGATCACTGATCAATAAGGAACTAAGCCGAAGGAAAATGAGTGAGTGAAGGATTATATAATATACATGCTGTGTATACAATCAGAACATGTCAATACATACGCAAATAAGAAAAGGACTAAATGATGAGGATTAATAAATCAACACATTCAGATGAGGTGGACGGTTATAATGTTTCTCACTGGCTTTGTCTCTGCATATACTGTATGTGTCAGGCTTGTCTGTGTTTATACACAGATTTACATGTTAAGACATGTTCACCCTATTCCATGGTTTTCTGTATCAGGACATCTGTTTTTAAAAATCTATCTGGTTCTTGGAAGGTCTTTAATGTGTTTTAGATAAACACTCAGATAAACATCAGACATCTCGCAGTGTGGCATTATTTACTGAACCCAAACAAAGCCCAGATGGAAAAGCCATGAGTGCTGAAGAACTGCTGATTCAGATGCTGTAACGGCACGTTCAGGAGTGATGAGTCCTGACTTTCTGGAGGATCTTCTGGAGATTATCTGGAGGAGTTTGTGCATTGACTGATGAGCGCTGAGCTTTCATTCATCAGTGTGATGTTTAGTGTTGTTCATTGTTCATTCGTTGTCGTCATCTTCTTCAGATGTTGTGTTGTAGATTTGGCATCATTGTGTTGTTCATTACTCAGTTTGTGACTTATTTCTCTTCATCTGAGCTTTCATGTTCATATCTGAACCTTCCTGTTGACTCAAATTGAGCCGTGAGCATATTAACAGCAGAAGAAGACAAAATTAAATGATTTCTTTATTATAAATCTTGGTGTCGGCGATGTAGTGGCACAGTAGGCAGTGTTGTCGCCTTACAGCAAGAAGGTTGCTGTGTGGAGTTTGCATGTTTTCCCTGATCGTGTGGGTTTTCTCCGGGTGCTCTGGTTTCCCCCACAGTCCAAACACATGTGGTACAGGTGAACTGGGTTGACTAAATTGTCCGTAGTGTATGAGTGTGTGTGTGAATGTGTGTGTGGATGTTTCCCAGAGATGGGTTGCGGCTGAAAGGGCATCCATTGCATAAAAATGTGCTGGATAAGTTGGCGGTTCATTCCGCTGTGGCGACCCCGGATTAACAAAGGGACTAAGCTGATAAGAAAATGAAAGAATGAAAATCTTGGTGTCTGAACACATTTAGAGAACAACGCTTGTGTTAGGGGTCAATTTACACCTGCCAGATATAAAACCACAAAACTACTGACACACACATGCACACACTCCAACACACACACATACACACTCCAACATGCACACTCCGACACACACATACACACTCCAACATGCACACTCCGACACACACACATACACACTCCAACATGCACACTCCAACACACACACATACACACTCCAACATACACACTCCAACATACACACTCCAACATGCACACTCCAACACACACACATACACACTCCAACATGTACACTCCAACACACACATACACACTCCAACATGCATACAGCAGATTTATTAAATAATATTTCTGGGCAGTCAAGGCGCTTTACACAATGGGGGGAGGGGGGATGGGGTCTCCTCATCCACCACCAGTGTGCAGCATCCACCTGGATGATGCAACGGCAGCCATTGTGCACTAGACCACACACCAGCTGATTGGTGTAGAGGAGACAGAGTGATGAAGCCAATTATGATATGGGGATGGTTAGGAGGGCGTGATGGACAGAGGCCAGTGGGCAGTTTTGGCCTAGATGCCGGGGTTAAACTACTCTGCTCTTTTTCGAAGGACCTCAGTTTAATGTCTCATTCAAAAGACGGCGCTCACTGAGCAGTATGTAGTCCACGTCACCATACTGGGGCATTAGGACCCACATAGACTGCAGGTTGAGCGCCCCCTGCTGGCCTCGCTAACACCACTTCTGGCAGCAACCTAGCTTTCCCATGTGGTCTCCCATCCAGGTACTGACCGAGCCCTGCTTATCTTCAGTGGGTGACCATGTGAGAGTTGCAGAGAGCTATCTGCCGGCTAAAATTTTAAACAGTGTAAAGACCATCACTGCTCCTGAGATTGATAGTCGAGGAGCCACAGAGCTAAAAGATCTGTCTCCCATTGTGCTTAATGGAGTGTGAGGTGGCACCAGGGAGAAACATGATCTGAGAGTGCGAGAAGGGGTATAAATATGGAGTAGTGCGGTGAGATATTGAGTTTGTGTTGGTGTTGTTGAGTAATATTCACTTACTAAGCAAGATTTCATCCTTGTTTTTTTATTTTAATGTCATGTCATTCATTCTTTGGTGGGACGTGCTAAATATTATCACTCTAAGAAATAAGACAGAAGTCGGTGAGCATGATGTTGTTTTTAAAGATATGTCCACAGCAAGATTCTTTATTGACTTTAACTATCATAGACTGAGGCCGACAACTGAGGGGATTTCATTTGTCTGAGCTCATGCCTTTATGCTCAGAGTATGATGAAAGAATATTTAGAAAAGAGAGTTGGTGTAAATCGTGTGTGTGTGTGTGTGTGTGTGTGTGTGTGTGTGTGTGTGTGTGTGTGTGTGTGTGTGTGTGTGTGTGTGTGTAATGTAAATAAGTGGAGAATAATTATTTAATGGAATTATTATAAAAATCTGAATCTCAATTTAATTTTAATTCAGTTCACTTTAGGGGGCGTCACGGTGGCGCAGTGGGCACCACGATTGCCTCACAGCAAGAAGGTCGCTGGTTTGAGCCCCAGCTTGGCCAGTTAGCATTTCTGTGTGGAGTTTGCATGTTCTCCCTGTGTTGGTGCTCCGGTTTCCCCCAACAGTCCAAACACATGCGCTGCAGGGTATTGAATAACTAAATTGGCTGTCGTGTGTGTGTGTGTGTGTGTGTGTGTGTGTGTGTGTGTGTGTGTGTGTGTGTGTGTGTGTGTGTGTGTGTGTGTGAATGAGTGTGTTTGGGTGTTTCCCAGAGTTGGGTTGCGGCTAATATAAAATAATAAAATAATAACAGTAATAACAATAGTAATAATAATAATAGCAATCATTTCTCTCTCTCTTTCTCTCAAACACACTCATTTTTTCTCTCTTACTTTCTTTTTCTTGCTAACTCACTTTCTCTCTCTCACACACACACACACACACACACACACACACTCTCTCTCTTTCTCACTCACTCACTTTTTCTCGTTTTTACTCTCTCTCTCCTACTCTCTCTTTCTCTCTTACTCTCTCTCTTTCTCTCTCACTCACTCAGTCTCTCTCTCTTACACACACACACACTCTGTAACCTGCTCAGACAGTGCTGAAAGTTTCCCATCAGTGTTTTCTCCTCCTCTCCAGCAGTCAGTTGGTCAGATCACCTGGAGCAGCACACACACACACACACACGCACATTTGTTCTCTGGATTCTACTTCAGTCCAGATCTCCTCTGCAGGACGTAATGCTGAGCCGGACACATCGCAGCGCTCACTGACTTCTGTTTGTTTGTGTTTTTATCGCAGTCTGGAAACTTTGAGGAGACTGGCGCTCTGTGTTTGCGGACATCATCATCATCATCATCAGCGCTGTGAGTATACTGTACGCTTCTCTGCTCTTTACTTCTCCAGGAGTTCTGCTCTCCAACATCTTCAACTGCTTTCAGTTAAAGCCGCTCGGCGTGGAGAGAAGTGCTCATGTTGCCATCAGATGGCTAAAACTCGTGCTCTTACAATGAGGTCTTGGTGTTTTTGGGCATATAGAGACATCTAAACATCCCTAAATCAAGATGTATTTATATGATTAGTGAAATTTAAAGTGATTTTACGTCTTGTGTTCTTGTGAATAAGTTAAAGTGAAGTCTAAAAGAGCAAAAGTCTGCCTGTGAGGTAATACAAACACAGCTCTTATGACCTCACATATAGAGATTTTTATGTATAAACCCACTTTTTCTATGCTTTTTTTTTTTTTTTTTACTTGATTTTTATATTGAAAATCACTTTTTAAGCACAAAAATTAATCTAATGTGGTCTATTTTAGTTTTTATACTCTTTTAAAAAAGAGTGTAAGATCATTTTTAACCTAACATTGAATCAAATATGGACCATCATTAGGATTAGGATATTGAAAAAAAAATAACCCAGTGTGGGGTTTGTTCATATTTGACCCAACATTGAGTTAAAAAAAAAAAAAAACAACCCAGCTTTTGTCTAGTATAGTGTTTAAAAGCAATCACTGAAATGTTCTTTGAAACTTAAACTTTTATTTCAATGGTACATTGAGTTGTTTAATGATTGGACAAAATCCATCATCAGACCCTAAATAATGCTGTGTAGTAGCCCAGTGTTGGGTCAAACATGGGCAAAACCCAACATAGGGATAATGTTTTTATTTTAAATCTAAATGGAGCTCTTCTGTTGTGTCCTTCTCATGTAAAGTCATTAATTAAACTCGTCTACACTCATGTTTTGGGTCATTGTAACTTATTAAACTAAGCTAACTTAATTGTATAAGTTGTGTAAGCTGTTTTGTGTCAGTTTATTAGTGTAAAGTCAATCATGAGATGAAGAAAGCGAGACGAGCTGATTTGGGTGTTTTCCTTCAGGTCCAGTGAGGATGAGGATGTTGTGTTGCAGACGGGTTCTCCAGCAGTGGGTCTTTGCTCTGTTTTTACTGTGTTCTCCTGTCCCGCACCACGGCCGGCCCGTCGATGCCCTCAGCAGCCGAATGTAAGTGTCTGTGGCTTTTTGTACTGTGGTTTTTGGCCTCTTTTGAGGGTGTAAATATTACTGTTGCTCTTAGAGCTGCTGATCTGAACAAACCTCTAATCCCTGAAGCATGCGCCGCCGCCGCCGCCTCCACACTGCCTGCGCAATGCCTTTATGGTCCTTTATATGAATACAGAGCGTTTCAGAGTCACATCAGTAAATAGCTTGCCAAAATGAATCACTGTACGCTGTAAAAGATAGCAGTTTTCTGTATTTTGTGATTTATGTTTTTATTTTTCAGTTTATTTCTGCTTTTTAATTGCATTATGGGATGTTGATCTTTCGTCCAACAACTTTTAAACTTGAAAAGTGTAAAAAAAAAAAAAGGACTTTTCTGCACATGTGCAGTGCTGTGTTGTGTGTGTTGGTGTTGTGTATTACACTACAGAAACCTTGTAATAAACTGCAGCACATTTTCTGTTATTTTACACACTCATTTCTCTAGATATTAGTATTTCTCATACACTATATTATTTTAAACAACTAAAAAGACTCTTTGTTATGAGTTAAATTCACAGCATCAGAAGTGGACAGAGAAGAGATCAACATCCTATAATGCAGCTCACCTCCAGAATAAATGGAGAACACTTGTGAATCTGAAAAGACAGAGACAGATATATTGTACAGTGCACTTATGGAGCTGATTCTGTTCATCTAAAGCAGATGTAGATAATAATGTCACAGTTCAGTTCAGTAATGGTGTCAGTTTTGTGATATTCAGTTGTGAAGTTAATGGAGTTCAGCAGTAAAGCAGACGATAGTGTCCTTATTCTGCTCTTTAGTTCAGTGATGATTCTGTTTAATTTAATACTGTTAGTGTTGAATAAAGAAACAAACTGAATTCAGTGAAAGAGCCAGCAGACAATATTGTTCAACTCGCTTTTGCTCAATGTTGATTCAGTTCAGTTCAATAACAGGGTCAATGGTGCGAGGTCTGAAACAAGTTCAGTTCAGCTGTAGAGTTCATCATTATTCAGCTCACTTCAGTTCAGTGTGGATTCAGATGTGCATTATTTCCTAATAACTCCCCATCCCGGGGGTGATTATTGCTCTTCTCCTCTGGTCTCCAGCTCAGCTGCTGAATCTGCTGTTGAGATGTTGTGTGTTGAGAGTTTATTAGTCCTGTGTTTGTTTGTAGCGCTAGTGTCCTCCACATCTCCTCCTTCATTTGAAGTGATTTCTGACTCTTGCTGCCGTGAAACAACTCAAATCATTCAGCGGAGTGATATGGAGCTGTTATGCGCCTGTCGGAACTACTTTATCTGTGCCTTTATCTGACAATAAATCAAACACCTTAGAGGGACCATCAGCATATCAGGATCAAGCGTTCAGCAGCAGTGTATGACAAGCATACGTGATGAGAATCAGAGCACAAAATGTATTCATCTAGTCGTTGTGTGTACTGTATGTGTGTATGCATATCTGTATGTGTTCGTGTGTGTGTATGCGTATCTGTGTGTGTGTGTGCGTGTGTGGTGTTTGGCTGCAGAGCTGTGGAAAATGCTCAGGTTTGTGGATCGTGCCGGAGATGTTTTGATAGTTTTCGCCCACCTGTGTGTTTGCTGAGGGTCTGTGCACGGGCCACCTGCTGCACACACACACACACTCACGCACACTGATCTCTGATAGTGAAGCATGATAGAGAAAGAGAGATTATAGAAACGCTTTAATTACAGCAATTGTTTAAAACAGTTTACAACACTATAACAATAACATCAGTTCATTCGAAAAAAACAAAACACAACATGACCTAAACATCTCAACACCAATCAATCCTAAAGACATAATGTGTTAATTCATTTGTGATCAGTAAAATCAACAATAACTCAAAATACTTAATACAATATTCTGACTTGATTTCATTTTTCTAAAAATATAAATTGCTATCCTAGCAAATTAATAAACTTTAAATTACTTAATAAACTTAATTTAATTAAACTTACTTTAAGCTTAACTTAATAAAATTTATTAAGTGACATTTATATTTCTGCAACCCACTGTAGCGGTACTTAAAACCCAAAATTAAAGTTGCCGCCAATAGCCGAGTAGATTAAGTGCGCCGAATTATAGCACCAAGGTGCTTTCCTGTTAGCTCCCAATCCTGTCCTGTCTGTCCTTCACTGTCCTGTCACATTAACGGTGAAAAAGCCCCTAAAAATGATGATAGAAAAATAAAAATTAGAAATAAAAACTTGCTTTGTAAAAAAACAAATCTCCAATAAACGGGAATAAAATTTATATATATATAAAGATAGCGAGAGAGAGACAGAAATAAAGAGAGAGATCTGATAGGTTAATATACTGCTTATTATTGTGTGTTTTACTGATCTGTCATTTGTTTTCATGTGTTCTGTTTAACGTGAACATCACGGCTTTGGCAATACAAAACTTCTGGGTGATTTTAACCCAATATTGGGTCAAATATGGACAACCATTGGGAGAAAAGTTGTAATTTAAGTTTTATTGAAAAGAAAAACCCAATGTGGGGTTATATTTGACCCAACATTGAGTTATAAAAATAACCCATCATTTGTCTTGTATAATGTACTTAAATAGTAAAATGTTCTTTGAAACTTCTTTGTAAACTTTTATTTTTAAAGATACATTGAGTCGTTTTGGGAAATAACTTCATTTGGACAAATCCATCATCAAACACTAAACAATGCTGTGTAGTAACCCGGTGTTGAGTCAAACATGGGCAACGTTGATGTGTTTTACTGCTATGTCATTTGTTTTCATAAGTTCTATTTAATGTGAACATCACAAAGACTCTGGCAACACACATGTGCAACATTTGTCATGCCAATAAGACAAGTTTGAATTGAACTGAATTGAGAGAGAGAGAGTGAGGGAGAGAGAGAGAGATTGCTGATGCTAAGTTAGGCGGTGGCCCAAGTCAAACGGGCCTCTCCCGCTGGAGTATATTATGCCGAGCCGAGAAAACGCGCTTTTATGTCCTGCAAACCCCTCAGCAGGGCCCAGAATGCAAAACATGCTTCTCTGAGCTTTGGAAAGCCGCGCTCCCCCTGCCAGGACCTCCCGAACTTCATATCGGCTTTTAATGATGTGAGCGAGTGTGTTTGTTAGACACACACACACACATACTGATCTCCAGAGACGCTAATGCTACGACTGTGACGTTTTGTGCACATTATTCCATGTGTGTTTGGGTTTACTGGGCTAGACTTGTTTGCCATCCACAGACTAAGTAAAAAAAGTGGCTTCTCCATTAAATTAACTTTACAACTTAAACTGACCTAAAACTTCAAGTTCAAATTTGCATAACTTAAGATAAAGTAACATATAAACGTGTGGTGGAATGACCTTTTGATTATTGTTCAATTGCTTGTTGCCTTATATTTTTAAGTTGAATTAAATTAACTTCATAAGTCATGTCAACTTAAATTGACTCAAAACATTACGTTCAATGTTGAAGTAACAAACATTTTTGATTATGTAGTTTAATTGCTTGTTATCATAAATGTATTAGTCACTTCCACTTAAACTGACCTAAAACATCAAGATGAAATTTGCATAACTTAAATGATAACAATGTAACCTTATTATAAATGCGTGTTGTAATGACTTAACTTAGATGTTTAAGTTGAATTAATTAAAATTTTCAAGTCACTTCAGCTTAAACTGACTTAAGACATCAAGATGAAATTTGCATAACTCAAATGATGAAAATGCAGCCTTATTATCATATTAAAATAAGCTAAAGTAACATGAACGTGTTGTAATGACTTTTTGATTGTGGTTTACCTACTTGTTGTAATGTTTAAGTTGAATTAATTAGAATTTTTTAAGTCACTTTAACTTAAACTGACTTAAAACATTGAGTTCAAATTTGCATAACTTAAATTATAAAAATGTAAACTTATTGTCTTATTAAATTAAGTTAAAGTACCTTATAAACTTATTGTTATGGCTTTTGATTGTCGTTTTATTATTTGTTGCCTTATGTTAAAGGTGAATTAAATTGAATTTTTCAAGTCACTTAAGCTTAAACTGACTTAAAACTTAAAGATAAACTTTGCATAACTTAAATGATAAATCTAACCTTATTATCTTATTAAAATAAGTTGAAATAACATAGAAACATGTAGTAATGACTTTTTATGTAGTTTTATAGCTTGTTACAATAACTTTATAAGTCACTAACTTAAACTGACCAAAAACATCAAGGTTAAATTTGCATAACTGAAATGATAAAAATGCAGCCTTATTATCATATTAAAGTAAGTTAAAGTAACTTATAAACAAGTGCTTGAATGACTTTTTTGTCTTTGAATTACTTGTTACTTTAAATATTTAAGTTGAATTAAATTGAATTTTTCAAGTCACTTCAGCCTAAACTGACTTAAAACATCAAGATAGAATTTGCATAACTTAATTTATAAAAATGCCACCTTATTATCATATTAAAATAGGTTGAAGAAACATATAAACATATTGTAATGACTTTTTGATTGTGGTTTACCGACTTGTTGTAATGTTTAAGTTGAATTAAATTTAATTTTTCAAGTCACTTCAACTCAAACTATCCTAAAACATCAAGATCAAATTTGCATAACTGAAATGATACAGTGCAGTCTTATTATCATATTAAAATAAGTTGCAGTAACTTATAAATGTGTGTTGTTATGACTTTTTGATTGTCATTTAATTACTTGTTGCCTTAAATGTTTAAGGTGAATTCAATTGGATTGTTCAAGTCACTTCAGCTTAAACTGACTTAGGACATTAAGATAACATTTGCATAAATTAAATGATAAAAATGCAACCTTATTATCATATGAAAATAAGTTGAAGTGACATATAAACATATTGTAATGACTTTTTGATTGTGTTTTACCTACTTGTTGTTGTAATGTTTAAGCTGAATCTATTCGAAGTTTTTAAGTCACTTTAACTTAAACTGACCTAAAACATCGAGTTCAAAAGAGCAAAACTTAAAC